AGTGTGGTGTGTTAAAATTTTAAGTCTACCAACTAAAAAAACAATGGAAGTCTCTATGTAACTCCCAAACACTAGAAGAAAGAAAAATAAAACAAATAAAATGCCACCAACTTAGGAAAAGATTGTATGTATGGAGGAGATTAGAGACAAAAATACACGATAAAGAGAAACATAAAATCAGATATCAGGTCTAAAATGAACATTATAGTCAGTGTAGATGAAGGGGAATTTAGCGTGGGAGAGTTGAGAGGAATAGTGCATGTGATTAGGAAGGAGTTCCTTCTCAAGTCATCTCTCTCTGTGCCCGGAGTAACAGCTCCCCCAGGGTAGGACCCAAGTCTCCTTTTCCTGTCGCCTGGAGCAGGAGCGCCCTCTCCTCCCTTCATGCCCCGTGCCTCAGTTTCCCCTCTGTGGTAGTCCTGGCCATGGCACTAGGATCTCCCCTCAAGAAAGAACTGGCCACTCCCCCGCAGGAGCAGCGAGCGGACCTCCAGCGCTGGTGCCTTCAGGATCCGACACAGCATCTGAGCGCAGGCCCTGCTCTCCCCAGACAGCCCCGCCCCACCCCCACCCGAGCAGGGCCGCTGGGTACCATCCTTGCTCCAGAGCTCACTGCCAGCTTGGCACAGGCCCTGGCAGAGCTGCATCAGGTCTGATGTTCTCCCTGCCTAATCCTGCCTTCTCCTCCTTCACCTTCCACAGGGTTCCTTCACATGCAACCGACTTCCACAGTCCTCACTCCATTTCAGCATCTGCTCACTGGAGGACCTGAACTGACACACCTCCCCTCACGCTCCCTCCAGAGCCCTGCGCCATGGCCCCCAGGACCAAGAGATGCTGTAGGCCACTCCAGAGCCGGTCCCTCAGCTTCATCTCCGCTCTGCACTACCAGACTTCCCCACCCTGCTCCTGCCCACCCCCAGCCCCGGTGCCTCACTCGAGCAGTGCTAGACTCTGCTGGAAGGGCAGCCCATGTCTGTCGCCGTGTCATCTCCAGTGCCCATCCCGGGGCCGGGCAGTGTAAGTGATGATGCTGACACATGAGCAATGAAGGGATGCTGTACGCTGCATGCTGTTCCCAGAGAGATGAAGGAAACTGTTCTTCTTCAGATACCTGCCTGGTCCTCTCCTGCCCTCCACCAAACCCTGGAACTAAGGTTAGAGTCAAGATGTGTCTCCACACAGGAAGAACTGGCCCCAAAGAAGGGTCAGCCTGGGCAGTGGTGAGCAGATCATTCCCTGGAGTTTTCAGCCCCACTGGATGGATAAACACCTAAGGGTGTAGGTCCCTTCAACTCAGAGGCCCAGAGGGCGAAGCTTGTCTGCATCCACACAGCAAGGAGGAAGGCTCTGGAAGTGGGGACTCCCCAGACCAGGTCCCTGCCTGGCTGCCTGGCCGGGGCCATGCAGGTCAAGACCACACTGAGGTCCCCAGCCGCCCTTCCCACTCCACAGCAGGACCTGGCCACCACTGAGTCTCTGAGCCGGGAGCCTTGAAAGTGTTAGTAAGGACTCGGGATGGTGCAGGAAGGACTGGGGAGGCAGGGGTGCCCCCCTGCAGGGGTGAGGCAGGCAGCCAGGAGGCAGGCTCCAAATGAATTACTGCAGATGCCTTCCTGCCTTGCTTGTCATGCCTGTTCTGTCACAAGGGATGGCAAGCGACTCTGCTTCTCTCTTTCCCTCCACCTCTGCACCCCTGTGATTCTCAAATCCGGAGCAAGCGGGGTGGGGGTTGCTACAGAGACTGGGGACTGGTTCCAAGGATCCAGAAGGAGAGGCCTCCGAACAGCAGATTCTTGGGAGGAGTTCATGCAAGAGGACGTGGGGAGCAGAGAGCAGGGAGTGGCTGGGGCCCCCTCCCAAGCCAGAGGACAGGAGTAGGGGTGTGGGGAACAGGATCCCAGTCACAGCTTCCCACCCCCTCGGTAGCCTGCTTCCCCACCTCCGGATTCTGATATCCCTCCCAGACCCAGAAGCCTTCCCATCTCACCTGACAGGTGAAAGGACGGTTTCCCTCATCAGATCCCACTGAACTCCTCAAGAGTGGGCCGTGCCCTGGCCGGTTTGGCTCAGCGGTTAGAGCGTCGGCCTGCGGTCCAGAAAGACCCGGGTCCGGTTCCCGCTAAGGGCATGTACCTGGCCCTGGTTGGGTCGTGCAGGAGGCAGCCACTCAATGTGTCCCTTTTACGTTGTTGTTTCTCTCTCTCTCTCTCTCTCTCTCTCTCTCTCTCTCCCCCCCCCCCCCCCGCCTCCCTCCCACTCTATCTGAACAAAATATGGAAAAATGTCCTCGGGTGAGGATTAAAAAAAAAAGAGTGGGCCATGGCTGATCCCCCCCCCCCCCCCCCCGGAACACAGGTATGGACATTCAGCAGCAATTAGTTGAAACATGGTCCAATTTAGTCTTGGTTGCATTTTTTAGGGTTTTTGTTTATTTTTGCTTTTGTCTCTAGCTTCTCAGTTTGTTTTGTGTTTTTGATAGGTAAGAAAGGGTGGGTCCCCCAGGAGAACAATTCTGGCAAAACAAAGAAGTAATTTCCATTGCAAAGGATCTACAAGGAAACTATTCTCCCTGGGTCACCACTTCCTTCCTGGGTGCCTAGGTACCGCGTGGGCATCAAGAGGCCCTGCCAGTCACGCTCACTGCCTGCAGCCTGCCCTGGCAGCCCTGGGCTAAGGGCAGATTTCTTGTGAACCACCCTCCAGAACAAGGGGAGAGGCAGCCCATCCCCCACTGGGGGTGAAGCGTCTCCTCCTCCCCACAAGGTCATGTGCCAAAGTGGGGTCTGGCTCCCTGCTGTTCCCCAGGCCTCACCCCTCACCTCTCTAGTACTCATGATCCTTGTCCTCATAGAGAACAGGATCTCAACAGCCCAGAAGGACAAGCATTAATGGTGGGATTTCAGCATTCTGCAACTAGGTAGTGTGGGGGGGGGGGAGAGTGGGCAAGGGTTTATGAGAGCCAATGCCCCTGGATTTCCCATTCATCTGGGACTCCTAGGACACTGTACCAGCAGAGGCAAATCCCCAGAATGAGGATATGATTCCCCTGTCCTGCTGGAGAACCGAGGCCTGAGAAGAGGTACAATTAGGGTCACAAGGGGAAGCAAACACCCCTGCCTCCTGAGCCTAAACTGGCCCCCAGAAGTGGGGATGGCCAGGATGTGGCTGGTGATTTTTCTAACACTTCCTCCAGGGAAGGGTTGGTTCCAAATCTCAGAATAGCCAGGGCAGAGGCCTGGCACAGTTCCTATATCTGGGGAGAGGCCTATGCCCAGGCCCACTGATTACCTCTGGAAAGAGGTGGAAATTGTGGGGAATACAATAGCTCTCCAGGTCCTCCTCCAACAAGAGCTGTCCCTGCCTTACCCACCTTGTGCCCCGGTGCACAGCACTGCGTCTGGCACAAAGTAAGTTATTAATAAATGTGCGAGGAGGGAAAGGAGGAAGGGGGGAGGCAGGCAGGGTTAGAGGGAGGGAAGACAAGGAGACAGGGAAGGGAGGGCGGGAGGAAGAGAAGACAAGGAGGCAGAGAAGGGAGGGAGGGAGGAAGAGAAGACAAGGAGGCTGGGAAGGGAGGGAGGTGGGAAGGAGGCAGGGAAGGGAGGGAAGGCAGAAAGCAAACGGGCGAAAGCTGAGGCAGGCGGTGCCTTCAACCCTTCTAGGCTTTCCCCTGAGTCCCCAACTCCATCCCACCCCCAGACCGGTCAGCGGCCCGAGTTTCCCGCGCTGTAGGGAGCGAAGCCTGGGTGGGTCCTCGGGGAACTCTGCCGCACTTGCCGGTCAGCCCGCGCCTGAAGTTGAACCTCCAAGCAGCCGCACATCCCCCCTGGGTGCCCGGGGACGCGCGGCCTCTCCGCTAACACCGCCCTCCCGCACCCCCCTATCATATTTACCATCCACCTGTCCCCGCCACCACCTCCAGTCTCTATTGCGCGGTCTCGAGCCCTCGGAAAGAAGGCAAAGCAGTCACCTGAGCTTGGTCCGCCAAGAAGACGCGCTCCAGGCACGAATAAACAGCCCTGAGGACGCGCGGTGGAGGCAGACTGGCCAGATGTCACCCAGCGGCCGACCCGCCGAGCTTTGGAAGCGAGGCACCAGAGGCAGGAGGCTGGGGTCCGGGCCTTTCTCTGGACCCCACTTCCCCCAGCTGTAAAATAGGGCAGGCGGCGGAGGGGCTGTCTGGTTTGGGGTCGGTTGCGCAGAGCCTGGGCCCGCGCGCCGGCAGCAACCTTCCCTCCCGCATGGAGGCGCTGGAACTTAGGCCCCGCCGCGTGCGCGAGGGCGCGGACGCACTGTTTTCACTGAAGCGGGACAGCTGGTGCCGAGTGCGCCCTGCCAGGCCGCCTGGACTCCGGGGAGGCACCGTGGAACCCAGGGTCGGGCCTCACCCGCACCCTTCCTTGCCCTAGCCCGCCTGTCTGGCGAGAGGGGTTAGTCGGGCTGGTTGAAAATGGAGCAATCAGTGCCCCCCACCGACTCGGACTGGCGGGCAGCGGGCAGCCTGGGGGGTAGGTGTCTTTTCTAGGGTCGTGGTGCGGCCCTCCCGCCCCAGCCCTCGGAGGCGGAGGCGCACACACGGGAAATGAGGAGGCTGGCTGGGAGGCCTCCAGGCGGTGGCTGTGAAGGTGGACTTGCAGAGCGCCCTGGGGCGGGGCTGGGGGCGAGCCGGAGGTGAGATGGCAGCCAGGCGCTTGGAAACCGTGAGTCAAACGGAGAAGAATGAGGCGCGTTAGGATCTGGAGACTCCCGGGATGCAGTCCGATGGGGGCGAAGGCCGGTTAATACCCGGAGACTGGGACTGACGCGTGGGGTAGGCAGAGGGAACCCGGGGACTCCCCACTCGCTGGGTGCCCCAGGCCCGCCCACACCTGCGCTACGGCCCCGCCCCTGCCTATCCATTGGCTGGACCCACCGCCCGTCAGACGAGCCCCCGGGTCCCGCCCTCAGCCCCGACCAGTTTCTCTGAGCGCCGGGGCCACCGCGGCAGTGCCACTCTGCCAGGCTCCTGGCCGTCGACAGCGCGGTGCGCCGCCCGCCCGTTGCCGGCGTGGGGCGGCCCGGCGCGGGCTCTGGGCGGACCATGCGCCCGCCGGGTCCGCTGCCGGCCCGCTGGCTCTGCCTGCTGGCGGGCGCCCTCGTCTGCGCCCTCCGCCCCGCGGTGAGTGTCCACCGGGCCACCCAGAATCCCGGCAGCTGGGGGTGGAGTGGGGGCGGCGGGAGACCGGCTGTCAGTGTGCACGCCTGTGTGACGGGAACCGGGGCGCAGAGCACCCCGGGGTCTCGCCTCCCGGGTCCTCCTCGGACCGCATTCAGACCCGAGGGCAGTGGTCGCGGTCGCACCGCGACCCTCAGCACAGCCTGGAGCCCGCTCCGCGGCGATCTGGGACACCAGCGGAGGGCGGTGAATGCGAACGGGCTCCACACTCGCCTTCTGTGTTGTGCCTGCGTGTGCGTGGAGTGGGGAGGTCAGTAGACGCGGGTTTGGGGACTGTGGTCGATTGAAATGGACAGTCTGATACGTACGGGGGTTAGGAGGGAGGCTGTGAGGGTCGTCGCCGTGTGCGGTGTCGGTTTAGAGGTGTCTGTGGGGCGTTGTGTGTTACGCGGAGGAGTGACGTCTCAGCAGCAGATCCAGCACTGGGGTCCCCAGGACCCGGGAAGGGGCTTTGGGGACCCAGTGGATGACAACCAGACCTTTCCTGTGCCCTCTCACTGAGCAGAGGTGAAAGGTAGGGAGCCCGGGGGAAGGCAGTGGACAGTGAGGGGTTGGGGTGTTTATCAGGAAGCGCCAGCCACGTGCATGGGGAAAGCTGAGCAGGGAGCAAACAGCCAACAAGCAGCGGCGGCGTCTCTCTTCCTCCCACTTCTGCTTCACCCCCACGCGGCTGTGTGTGTCCCTGCCTGCCAGTATGCCCCATGCGTGGGTGTGCCCCAGGAGTCTGTGGATGGCTCACCTAGGCTTCCAGGCAGATCCTAGTTGAGGTGGGAGATACATGGATCATATTCCTCTAAGATCAGGGAAGAACTCAAGACACTGAATCTACCCAAGCCCATTTTACTGATGGGCAAAGTGAGGCCAAGGACAGTAGAGCCATACCTGTCCCCTACCAATCAGACCTGGACTGAGGTTGATTTTCTCTCTCCCCTACCCCAGGACTTGAGGAATCTGGGGTTGCTGCTTGTGCAGGGCCTAAAACCCAAGTGGGTTCCAGATCTGGCACTAGCTCCAAGTTGGCTGGTGTGTGGGTGGAGTATATTGATCTAGTTTCTTCTATCACATGATTATCTCCCTCACTATCACCTCCACCAGGACAGAAATGTGTTTCCATCTAACCAGTGTCTTACACACCCTGGGGATGGGGAGCTCATTGCCTGTCCTGGATCATTGACAAGAGCTTTTCCTCCTCCCACTGCATGAGACCCACCTCCTGAGCACGCAAAGCCCTGCCAAGTTCAGGACCTGAGGCCACAGCTCCGGGACCACTTACAGCCCCTCAGGTCTCAACAACAACCCTTTGGATCTTGCAATTCTGGGCTTCAACCTCTCAAATTCTCCTTGGATGGGCCAGGGATCTTGGGGCCACCACTGGCACCCAGACCCCCATCCCTGGAGGCTTCTCAGCCCAGGTGAAGACTGGTTTTAGCGAGGTCTCCTATCATGCTAGGTCACATCTGCCCCCCACCTCCTGACAGCCCAAGCCTGGCTCCTCCAATGCCTACCTTCCCCTGTCTTTCCACGTCTTACTCGCTTTGTACCCAACACCAGCTCCTGCAGACAGCCTTCCCTGATTGCTCCAGCCCTCAGCATCCCCACCTCTGACCCCACCCTTCAGCCCTCCTCACCTCCCAGCCTGGGCTCTTCTGACCATCCCATGAGACCTAGAACTGAGATCTCTCCCCTGCCATGCCCCCATAGCCCAGTGCAGGGCTGAGCCTGCAGGGGGAAGAGAAGGGACTCCGCCAGGACTGGGTGAGAGCAGGCTGGAGTGAGGGGCCCCAATTCTCTCTACTTCTCCCCACCAGTCACTTGCTCCCACACTGAGTGGACATCAGGCAATCCTGCTCCAGCCGGACTCAAGGGATGGGGGGTGGGGGGGGCTGATGTTATCAGAGCCATAAAATGGCAGCTGCAAAGTTCAGTTTGAAGGCCCAAGGCCTTATCATTCCTGTTTATGGTGCCCTGACCTCAGCCTGGGAAGGGGAAATCTCTGAACAGGGAAGCAAAAAAGGGAAAGAAAACCTCCAGTGTCTCAGAAGAGGAAGTCTGCCCAAAGTCACCCCCAGGCTTTCCACTGCCCCGTCCCCCCAGACAGCAGGCACAGGGACTCCTCACTGGTAGCAGAACTGCTCTGGGTAATGCCCAGCCCAGTGGTGGGGGGAGGGGTGTCACAGAGGAGGGGCAGAGCCAGGCCTTGCCCTGGGAAGATTCTTAGGCTCCTGGGGAAGAGCAGAGCCAGTGACTCAGGAAGTTGTCCTGGTGCGTGTAGGGTGCAGCCTCCCAGAACTAGGTCTCTGAGAGGAGCAGTCAAGGAAGTCTTCCTGGAGGAGGCAGGACAATGCCCTGAAAATTTCCATGAAATGGGCCAATCTTTCCCCTGAAATTACAGAACAGCCTCGATTGGCTGGACCAGTGGGCCTCACCCCAGAAGGAGGAAAACCCCAGAGCCCCCAAGGAGCTGGCATGGCTCAGGGTTGGGGGAGGCTTGGCTCCTCTAACTCCTCTGTGAGGCGGGTAGCTGGCCACCTGCTCCTGAAGGCCTCACCTTGCCATAGGCATCCTGCCCCAGCCCTCTGCTTCTGGGCTCGCCAGAGTCTGTCCACAGCTCCCCAGGCCGGCCCGGCCCCCAGCAGCCCCCCTGTGGGCTTCAGGAAACATGGTGGCAGTGGGGTCAGACCTCCTTCTCCAGTGAAGTGACAACCTCAGTTAGGCCTGCCCAGGACTCCCCGGGGCCTGTGCTGCAGGAGCAGGCCCCCCTCAGAGGACTCCACCCCCCCCACCCCCACCCCCCCACCCCCGTCCTGCTGCCCTGGGTCTCAGCCTTCCCCGACATTTCTAGAGCTTCTATGAGGAGCCGGAGCAGGGGCCAGGAAACCTGGTCCTCACCCCCGTCCGTGACAATGGCCAGTTGACCTTGAGAACAAGTTTAATCTCTGTGGAAGGACCCCAGTTTCCTCATCACGAAAGGGAGGCGAGAACCCTTGGCCCGGCATGCAGGAGAAGTGGGAAATGGGAAATGGCTTGGCTGGAGGCCAGCCCACCGAGTGGGCACAGTCTGGCCCCTGAGCCTCACTCTGACACGGGCTCAGCCTCCCCGCAGGACTCCTGTGAGACCGGAAGGAGATGAGTGTGCTGAGGGAAAAGTCCCCTTTGCCACCACCTGCCCAGGAGTCCCCAGGGCAGGGGGGAGTCCTGGGGACAGGGGTGTACTCATGAGATGGCCGGACAATTTGTGGGAGGGAGGGGAGGCTCCAGGCCCCTCGCTGCGACCCCTCTGGCTGTGGATGCAGGACTAGGCCAGGGGACTAGATGAAGCCCCACCCCTTTCTCCCTGTCCCTTCTGCTCCGTCTCCCGCCTCCAGCCTCCCCTCTGTGACTGCCCGCCACAAAGAGGTTGTCACTGCACACAGGAAAAGGCGCAGCATACCTGAGACGTAGCTCAGAAAAAGTGAATGAAATGCAGTTTGATCTCTCCACCACGTTATGGGTTTTTATTATTTTGAAAATTTTCAAACATGCCCCCAAAAGTAGAGAATAGCATAATGAACAAGGAAATACCCATTTCTTGCAGTGATACCAGGAAAACGGCAGTACAGGAATTTCTAGCACTCCCTCCCTCCCAATTCCTAGGTTCGACCGTTATTAGTCTTCACCAATTAATATTCGCATCATTTGCTTTTTTGACTGAAGTATTTTAAGATAAGTTATAGACCTCATGAACTTTTATCCCAAATTATTTTTAAATGAATCTCTAAAACCAGAGGACATTTTCCTATATAATGATGATACCATCATGACAACGAACACAATTAACAGGGTTCCTTAACATCTGATGTTCAGATCTCTCCGGGAAGCTGAGACTCAAGCATCACAAGATGAGTGGTGATATTATCTGAGGTTTTGGTCTCATTGCAAAGAGGTTTCCTGCCTGTGTTCTGTTAGGACTCAGAGCGAGCTGCAGGGTGCGTGGGCCTCGAGCTGGGCTTCCTGGACAGGGTCCATCTTTGTATGCACCCCCTTTCATGTGGCTCATGGTGTGAGGGTCCCTATCTCTCAGGAAGTGCCTCTTACTATCTTGAAAACAAGTTCTTCCCGCACAGCGGGTCATCAGAGGAGGGAAAGAGGCTACCAGCCAATCCCGGGGTTGGTGTCTCCAGGACTCACAGCCTGTGGCTCCCTGTGCTGGTGCCCAGCCCCCTGCAGGTCGCCCCAACACCAACATCACCCACAGACATCATGTTTGTGAACAGAGTCCTCTTTCCCTAGCATGCCCAAGATGACTTTCAAGGGGCAGGGGATTTAAATGGCGTCTCCGCTGCCCCTGCTTTGCTGGCCATCCCCACCGTGGTCCTCTGCGAAGAAATCCTGAAAGACGTTGCGTCCCTAAGTAAACCTTGCAAGAAACGCCCTTAGATGAGCCCAGGCTTAGCCCCAAGCTGGCGCCTTTGCCTGCTTTGTCTAAAAGCAAGAGCCCTTGTCCCGGCACCACTCAGCTGTGGGAAGTTCTTTCTCACCCCGAGCCCACATCTCTGTGTCTCTGCCTCCTGCTCGCTACTCCCCTCCACACACGCTGGCTCTCAGTCCACTCTCCGACTAGCCAGAGCTCAGCCTTCCCAGGGCAGGTGTGGTTGGCAAAACAGGGATTTGCAGAGAGGAGAAGATTCGGACTTGGTGAAAGGATGCAAAATTGCAGGGCGGGGAGGAGAAAGGAACACAGGAGGCGGTGAGGGGAACTGCCTGCCAGGCTGCAAAACTCTCCTCTGGTGGGCGGTGGGCGCAGCTGCCCCTTGTCAGCAGGTGGGACATCCTGACTGCCTGAGCTTATGCAGGGCGTTGGGGCTGTGGCGAGGCTGGGGTCTGGTGATGACAGGGTGGCTAACTCCTTAGTCGTCCCCTAGTGTGCTTTACCTGACCCTCGGCACAACCCTGGAAGTAGGTGGTGCTGTCCTTGTCCCCACTGAGAGAGGAGGTGGGGTAATTTGCCTGAGGCCACCCGCTCAGGGAGTGGCGGACAGTCTCATTCCAGACCCTGTGGACTTAACAAGGTTCTGCTGTGTCACTAAGAGGAACCGCTTCTTCCACAGGGGCTGTGGCCCGCGGCACGCTGCCCTGGGACTTTCAGGATAGTTGTTAATCAGTAAGATGCACAAATATGAGGTGACAGCCAGGGAATTGTCACACGTGTGTGTACCTGTGTAGCCATTGCCCAGACCAAGTGATTACAGTTTCTGTGACTCTTCCCCCAAAGTCTCCCCTGTGCCCCAATGAGATGAGGGCACAACTTCTTTTCAAGCCCTCTGCAAAGCTGGGGTGTTTCTCCGGTTTTCTGTGACTTCTGGATTCCCTGCTCTACCTTACCTTCCTGGGTCCCCTGCCACACACACCCCGGCATTTTCTCCTCTTGCTCTCCTCCCCGCGGCCCTCTCCCCCCTCAGCTGCACGCTTCTGTCCCTCACTGATGCGGAGCACACAAGCCGAAATGAAGGGTCAGCCTTGGAAGCTGGATTATGGTTCTGTGTGCCTTCTCTCTGGGTCCTCAGCAACCCCCCCTCCAACGTGACTCTTCGTTGTCCCATTATTTCAATGGGGCGAGCTTAAATAAATCATGGGAGATGAGATGGTAATGGAACAATGGTAAGTGAGACCACTCCTGAGCCCCCTACCATCTATTCCCCAATCACCGGCCTCCCCAACCCTCCCAGCAGGAAAAAGCCTTCTTTTGACAAACTTCAGCAGCACAAATCATCCACGGTGGCTCCCAGGGCTAAGTAATTTGCAGGCAGGAAGTTTTTTCTTTTGTCTCACCTAATCGCGCCTGCTGCATCGTGGTTGCTCCCCTGGCACGCTGCTCCTGTCTCCCTCAGCTCCTCCTGCCGTAGTCCTATGGCCCGGATGAAGCTGGGTGTTCTGAGTCCAGGCCAGTAGCTGTGGTCTCAGGGGGTCTTGAGGGGGTTGGGTACGGCCCACAACGCGTGAGCTCGGCCCACCCTGTCTTTCCGAGCCCCTGGCATCTAACAGCTTCAACTCCCAGCGTCTTCACTCTCCCCAGCCTTTGTCCCCATCCTCAGGAGCCCCACGCGGAGAGGAGAAGGCTTCTCCCAAGCCCCTCACGATCGGCACAGAGGAAGGAGCTCAGCCGAGCAGGTGGAGTTAACACACTTTGGTTAAGCCTGGACCCCATCAGAGACTCAGGACGCTCCTGCCGGCTTTCTGTCAGTTACCTCCCAGCACGCGGCAGGGGACACAGACCCAGGGTTGAAGAGGTGCTGTGGATGCCCCCCCTCTTGCCAGGGTCCTTTCTTCGGGGCTCACAACTCCTGTCATAGAGGAGGTGTTAGGAACCCAATATGTCCCGAAACTCTCTAGCCTCAACCCAACTGCAAGGTCAGACTGACTTGAAGCTCACGTGAAACTCAGCCCAACACAGGAGTTGGGGAGGGCTTGGGAGAAAGCCCTGCCCTCTCCTCTCCACATGGGGCATCAGGAGACCAGGTGGGAGGGGCAGGCACCCGTGGGATTGGGAAGAGCCTTGAATGCCAGTTCTGAAGTGTGGGCTTTGACCCCTAGGCCATGGGGACCCTCAGAGATTGGAAGCAGGAGAATGAGGATGGTGATACAAAGACCCCTCAGGTTGTAGGCGTTGGGGCTGAAAACTACTGCACCGGCCCAGGCAGGAGCTGACGAGGCCTCCGTCCTTATCTCCCAGCTTGTCTCCTGACGCCTCCAGGCACCGCTGCTGCAGCCACGCCGGCTTCTCGCGACCGTGAATGTATAAGCATCTTCGTGACTCCATGCTTCTGTGCACGCAGCTCCTGCTTTCTGGAATGTTCTTACTCCACCTCTAATTGTCCACCTCCTACACATCCTCAAAGGCCCTCCCACCTCTACTACCCATTTTCTATGAAGTCCACACCCCAACTATATCCTACCCTGGAACCCTTCCATGGATCAGCAGGCTTGCTTGTATCCGGCTGGGAATTTTCCAACTCGGTGTGTCTGGAGTCCAGAGGGATAATGAGGATGTTTAGAATAGGGAAGTAAGTGGAAGAGGAAGTCCAAAGTCTGCCTGAATTCCTCAGTGATAAGAGCTAGAGGGAGCTGCCCTGGCCCCAGACCCCAAAGAGTAATGGTTGACCAGATGGCTCAAGGCGAGGTGGTAGAGAAAAATTGATGTGGTCCAGACTAGTGGTCAGAGATCTTGGTCCCTTCCGGGAAAGTGCATTGCTGGGTGGCCTCAGCCCTCTTTGGGTCTCTTTTCCCTTTACCCTTCTCCAGATGGGGCCCAACACCTAACTACATTGGGGTGAAGTCGGAGCTCATTTTTCAGACCACCCTCACTTTATTCAGACACACCACAGGATCCCGGGTTACTCTGGGGCTCCTATCCCCTTCTGCAAACTGCCCCCCAGGAAGTGCTCTATGACTATGCTGCTGAGGGGAGCAGAGCTGGCTAGAGAAGTTGCCCCAAAACCCTTCCATGCTATGATGGCAGGCAGAAGGTCCCAGGAACCCTCTGATGCCCTCAGTGATTGGGGAAAAAATGTTATTGGTCAAACAGCATGACCACAGCCTGGGCTTAAGCGAGCCCAGCAAGTAAGGGCATCCGTTGTCTTGTCCTCAGAGCGTAAGTCTGGACTCTTTTGGTTACAGGGAAAGAAAAGTCAACTAGCTCCAGTTGTAAAGCAAGGTACTGATGCACGTTGTGGCACCGGGGCTGGTTTCAGGCATGGCTGCTCAGGGGCTCAGACCCTGTCGAGAGGACCCAGTTTTTCTCCATCTCTCTATTCTGCCTTCAGCATTGTGTTCCCATTGGCAACCAGATGGCGGCAGCGGGTCCAGCCCCTGCATCCCTTGAGGTTTCTAGTCCTGTGGGAAAGAACAGACCCACTTGCCTAATTACTTAATCCAGAGTCCCAGGAATGAGCGTCCTGACTCTGAGTAGCCTGACTCGGGCCATGTGCCAGACCCTGTGGCTAAGAATTCTCTGACTGGCTCGAGTCTGGTTGCATGTGGATCACCTAGGAGAGGGATCATCAGAACCCATGAACTAGGGCTGGAGAAGGAGGTGGTTTCCCAGGTAGAGATGAGGACATGGCACCAGAGAAGGGTCAAGGACGGCAGAACGCACCACCATCCATGTTGTGGGAGATACGAGGTGAGAATGGGAAGGAGGGGCAGTCAAAGCTGGGGAAGGGGCCAGAAGGCAGACTGAACCCTGTTGCTGGTGGACAATGAGGCTGAGAAGGGACTTCGGAGAGAAACTTGCTCCAAGCAATCAGGATAGTGGGACACAACCCGGGATGGCCAGTCCTCAGGTTCTTCTTCCAGAGGCCACCTCTGAGATCCGTCTGGCCGCCCCTCTTCCCATGCCTGAGCCAGCCACAGATCCCTTAAGACAGAACATCTGGAGTGTCTCAGTCTGGATAATCCAATGGGCAAGAGAGGAAGCACGTGACCCCAAAGAGGGACCACAGCACATTTCCTTGGGAGTCGCATATCCTGTCTTTCGAACAGTTATACAAATAACTACACCCTCTCCATAACAGATCTGTTACTTTCGATATGCCCAGTTTTAAATGACAGACCAGCTAATATCTTTATCTCAGTTGGCTGATAAAGTCCACGGTCCAGGGTAGAAGCCATGGTCACTATGGCTCCCAGGCCTGTGGCACGTGGGAGAGCGAGGTCTGGATGCTGGGGAGTCTGAAAGACCCTGGACAAGGGGGCTTCCCCTTGGTCAGCTGGGGTGCGAAGCTGGGAAAGGCAGGGACCTCTGTGGCAAGGAGGCTCCACCAAAGCCTTCAACAAGGCATGAGAGCGCTGTTGAGGTGGAAGGGACTCGGCTGCGTGGCGGCCTGGGGGATGGTGAGCCATCCTAGGAGGGCTTCTCTTGCGTTCTTAAACCTCCCTTTACTAGAGCTGATATAGCTTGAATTATTCAAAAACTAAGGAGGCAGTTGAGGTCTGGGCGAGGAGAGCTGGTGTGCCCTTCCTTGCTGGTGACCCAGGGGACTGAGCATAGGCTCCTAGAATGGGGACAGAGGCTGGAAGATGCAGCCAGACTCCTGGATTCCTCCCAGGTCTGGCTCCGGGAACCGGAGGCCAGGGTCCAAGCCCTGCAGTGAGATAGCACTAGCCGGGCCCCACCCACGCACAGGGACTGCGGCAAGGACAGAGGACTCCCGGTGCTCTCGCCGAGCCGGAGAATGGCAGGGTCCAGTGGTTAGCTCTGGGCTCCACGGACAGGCCCTCTCGCCTCTGTCCAGGTTGCACTACTCACAAAGAGGCAGACTTGTGACGGCCGCAGCACTGTCGGGGAAGCACCAAGAAGCCATGACAGAGCCCTCGAGGCGGACCTGGCTTTGGGGACAATGACGCATTCTGGGTCAGATCCAGGCTCCAGTTTGGGGGGAGGGTCAGGACTGAGTCTGCAGTTGGGGTTGGGGTTCAGTCTGGAACTTGGGTCAGTCCAGTGACGGAGCCTTGCTTGACCCATGTTCCCGGAGCTTGTGGATGAGAGGCGGGCCATGGACGAGGCTGACGGTCCCTCCTGTCTGTCCTGCAGAGCGGCTGGGCGGCTGGGATGCCGCGGGAGGCGTGTGACTACGTGCAGAGGATCAAGATGGAGCACAGGCAGTGCCTGGAGGAAGCCCAGCTAGAGAATGAAACAGCAGGTGAGCCCCCTCCCCCGGGTGGGAAGAGAGGCTCTGCAGACCCCAAGGAGCCCCACTTCTCCTCACGGGCGTGAGGCCAGATGCACATCACATTCACTGCCCACTGTTGGAGGGGAGCGCAGGGAGCTGCTGGGTGGTGAGGAGAAGATGCTGGGAGACGATGGGGAGCCAGGTGAAGAAGGAGTCTCTGCAGACCTCCATGTTCCCATCCCCAACCCAGGCTGGGGAGCTCCCAGCTGTTACCTAAGAACACTATACAAATTGGGGTTCGGAAAAGTGAGTGAAGCCAACTCTGCTACTGGGGGTCCCTGCCCCTCCCCAGGAAACGTCAGGATGCTGTCCGTGGCTGCCAGCCCATCCAGGATGGGCGGCCAGGGCACTGCATGGTGGGGTCCGAGGCCCGAGGACTCCTGGCCCAGCCCAAAGAAGAGTCGGAGTAACTCAGTGGCGGGAGCACTTCTGGGCCAGGCTCCTCAACCCCTGACTCGCCAGGGCTGAGAGGGCGAACACTGGCCCCAGGACACCGCACTCCAGGGTTAAACCGCCGTACCATTAACATCTCCGGGGGAGCCCTGGCCCGTTTGGCTCAGCGGTTGGAGCGTCAGCCTGTGGTACAGAGAGACCCGGCACATACCTCGGTTGCAGTTTGTCCCCGGCCCTGGTTGGTCGTGCGGGTGGCAGCCACTCGATGTGTCCCTTCACATTGATGTTTCTCTCTCTCTTCCTCTCTTTCCCTCCTGCTCTATCTGATCAAAAAATGGAAAAATGTCCTCGGGTGAGGATAAAAAAAAAAACATCTCCGAGGGAGAGCGAAAGGCATCTAGTGACAGTACATGACCACACAGGGACCGCATGGGAGCTCAAAGCCACCTTGGCAGTCTAGAGCAACAAAGGCACCAGGCTAGTCTGCACAGATCTGGAATACTCACCAACTCTAGGCTGTGCCAGCTAGCCAGCACCCAGGGGTGACGCCGCACGCACAGGCCCTAGACATACGCACTGACCTCCCCCCCAGCGCACCCTCCCGGGCAGATTACCCATCAGCTGGCACCCTCCCGATTAGACAAGTCAAGGTCGGATTCAGAGGCTGAGCACATGGAGGTCCAGCCACTCCTCTGCAGGGGTCTGGGGGACTCCGGCCCGGCAGTGTGAGGAGTCGTGCCGGGCACCCGCAGTCGATGCTGCCCAGCTAGCTGCCCAGACCCAGCAGGGCCATCAGCCCAGACGACAGCACCTTCCACTCTTCACTCCCAACCCCACACGCACTCAGCAGCCCTGGGATGAGGATGGAGGCGATACAAAAAGTGCCGATGGAGCCAGACGCAGGGTGGGCAGGATTTGCAGAAGCAGAAGCTGGGAAAGTGGGAGGCCCAGGGACAGACTGCTCGGGGAGTGGGGGTTGGGCATGGGACTCCAAGCTTGCTGAGAGCGACGGGGAGGGCTGGAGGCAGTGAGGTCTGGGCCTGCTCCGGGCCTCCCTCCCAGGTCACCTCCCTGAGGCCCAGCTTAAAGTTACATAACCACCTTGCTCAAGAGCAGGGAGCATCTTTAACATCTTCCTGGCTCCCCAGTTCCCGGCCTCCTCTGAGGCTGACAGTTATGTAACCCTTCCCGGGTCCTTCCTCTTGGCCCTGGTGCCCAGGCTCTCCGCCTCCTGCACCATAAGTGAGTGTGTGGAGCCTCGTCGATGGCCTTTACCTGCCCCGGCTGTCAAGGAGGGGCAGCCTCCTGCCTCCTGGGCCCTGAGAAGGAGGCCTGGTCAGGGGTATCCAGACCTGCCCGGGACGGGGCAGCAGGGCCGGGCTGCAGACAGGTGTCAGCAGGCCCCAACAGTGGATCCAGGTCATGGACAGCTCAGAGAGGCCCGGACCCCAGACTCTAGGCCCCCCTGCATTCATCCCAGGCCCCGAGGGCAGGCCACCCTCGTGATCCTGATGAGGTCATTGCTGGCACAGGGTGCCTGTCAGGTGCCAACAAACACCCTGTCACCAGGCAGCCAGCTAGGGGTCCAGCGGAGGGCAGGTGTGGGTCAGCAGGCAGGGAGTCTGCCATGACCTTGTGCAGGGACTGTGCATGTTCAGGCAGGCGTGTGCTCCTGGCCGTGTCTGTCGGCTCTGTCTGTGCCTCCGGAGTCTCTGACTCAGTGTGTCTGTGTGTCGGAGCGTGTGCGTGTGTGCGTGAGCCTGGGTGTGCCTCGTGTGCTGTGACTCTGTGTGCTGGTGTGTGTGTGTAGTGTGAGTCTGTGATACACCGTCATGTCTATGCATGTGTGTCTGTGAGTCGTGTCTGTCTGTGCCTGTGTTTACATGTCTGGTCTTTCCAGGTCCAGGTAAGCATACGCGTATGTATGTTTGCGTGTGTGTCTGTGGCTCTGTGTGCCTAGGGTTGCTTGTCACTCACTGTGCCTCTCTCTGTACACGCAGGCCTGTGGCATGAGCCCGCAGAGGTCTCCACTCTGCCCCACCACCCCTCCCCCAGGCTCTGGCTGGCCCTTCCTCCCTGTGGAGACAGCAGCCTGCAGTGGGCACACACAGCCTGGGCCGTGTCTCTGTGGGCCCGGGGACACCTGTGGAGGGACCTGAGAGGTCTCCCTGGGGTGGCACACAGAGAACACTCCCAGCACCCCCACCCCACCCCCAGGACAACAGGCTCCCTAGATCCCAGCATTTTCTTGGCTGTCACCCTCGTCTCTGCTTCCAGACCCTGCTGCCTTCTGCAGGAAGCTCCCCGACCGCAGCCTCCCGCTGACCTCTCCCCTGGCTCCCCAGCCCTACCCGCTGGCCTGGGCCCCCTCGCGGTTCAGCCCAGCCTTTGAGACCAAGCATGGCCTCCCCTAGGACAGGGGGTCCCCTCCTCTGCGCGGCCTCCGCCTCCGGTGAGGCTGAGCTCTGAGCTCAGGGCCGGGACCCAGCTCAGATCTGTCCCTCAGCCCGAGCCGCAGCTGGAGGCCCGAGAGCCGCAGTCTGGCGAGGACACAGCCAGCAGCCAGCTCGCAGAGCAGGGAGTGCCCAGCGCCCCAGAGAGGGCTACACAGCCCAGCAGCGCAAACTCCCAGAGAACCAGCGTGGAGCCATTCAGAGCAGGAGAGCAAGAGGTTTGCGGAGAGGGAGCTTGTGGCTGCCTCGGGCACCCTTGGGGTAGTTAGCTAATTGCTCTGTGCCTCGGTAACTCGTCTGTAAAACGGGAAGGCTAAATGAGTCACTCACTGAAAGGGGGTGGGACAGCGCCTCCCACTCACAAAGGCTCCCGGAGCCTTGGCTGATATTAACGGTCTTGAACGAAGGAGGCACTGGGAGCCAGTGAGGCCACAGAAGCCTCAGGACAGAGTAGGGGCAGAAGTTCCGGGGTCCCCAAGGAAGGCAGGCTGTGTCTCTGGCCAGCCCTGGGGACCCAGGTGTTCTCAGCCAACAGCGGCAGGTACCCCTGGCTGCGGCGGGCCTAGAGGCACCGCTCCCCGCTGCCCACTCCAGCACTGAGTCCGAGGCTCTTCCCAAGGAGGGACATCCTTCCACCTTTTCTTCCCAGGGCCCCTTCTTGGGAACTCATGAACCTTCGGACTTGGGCTGGGCTGGGCTTGGCCCAGCTGGCGTTGACTTTGGCTCAGGGGTTGGGTTTCCTGAACAAATCTATGGGACTGGCAGGGTTGCAAGGAGACAATTAAACCTCCCTCAGGGGAGGGGATCCAGAGGAGTCTCAGTCCCTGAGAGGCACCCCGTGGCGTTTGTATACCCCTATTAAAGCGGACTCCTGGAGACCCCACTGTGCAGCCTCACCAGCCAGGTCCGCAGGCTAACGGGCACGCGCTGGAGGACAGACTGTGAGGCCGGATTTTCTCCGAGCTCAGCCCCTGTCCACCACCCCCATCACGGTTCACCATCTGGCTGAGTTGTGGGCATCATGTTGCTTTGTGAGTTTTATGAAGACTCCTCAAGAACTGGCTGAACCCTGATATACCCATCACCCACCGTAAACAGCTCCTCCTTTTCTTTTTTTAATCTTCACCCAAGGATACTTTTTCCATTTATCTTTAGATCGAGTGAAAGGGAGGGAGAGGGGGAAGAGAGAGAGAGACACACACATTGATTGGTTGCCTCCCACACGACCCCCACCAGGGCCAGGGACGAACCGCAACTGAGGTACGTGCCCTTGACCAGAATCGAACCTGTGACTCTTTGGTCCGCGGGCCGACGCTCTAACCGCTGAGCCAAAGCGGCCAGGGCAACACCTCCTTTTTAAAAATATTTTTAAATTTATTTTTAGAGATAGAGGAAGGGAGAGGGAGACAGAGAGAAACAATGATGTTAGAATGGAACATCGATTGGCTGCCTCCTGCACGCCCCACACTGGGGATAGAGGATCAAGCCCAAAACTTGGGCAAAAGCCCTGACCAGGAATCAAACCAGCAACCTTTAGGTGCACAGGCTGACACCCAACCAACTGAGCCACACTGGACAGGGCTACAACACCTTTTTTTTTTTTTTTTTATCCTCACCCGAGGACATTTTTCCATTTTTTGTTCAGGTAGGGGGGGGGGGGAGAGGAACAGAGAGAGAGAGAGAAACATTGATGTGAAAGGGACACATCGAGTGGCTGCCACCCGCACAACCAACCAGGGCCGGGGACAAACTGCAACCGAGGTACATGCCCTTAGCGGGAACCGAACCCGGGTCTCTCAGGACCGCAGGCCGACACTCTAACCGCTGAGCCAAACCGGCCAGGGCAGACAACACCTTTTTATAAAGTATATTTTCTAATGCCTCCTTTACTATTATGAAATGAAGTTCAGGACACACATTCATTTTTTTAAATGATGTCCTAATGGTAACATAAAAGAAAAAGCAAAGTAATTTATAATAAAATACTATCTAACAAAGCCAGGCCCGGCCCCACTACAAGATAAGAAGACACAGTCAGAAGGTTGTACCTAGAAATCTAAACTCCAGGCATGGGAGAGTTGCAGACGTGGGCTGGTATAGACAGTGGTCGCATCACTGACTCAGATGTCACGGGCAGCATTGCTGTAGGTCACACGATTTCCCAAAACATTAAACAACGTTGAGTGAAGTGCAGAGCGCACAGCGCCCGGTCCTGCCTGCCGTCCCTCAGCGGCTGCACTCCGGGAAGCGTGTGTGTGTTAACCATGCCCTGAGTACCCTGTGTTTGTATGGCCGATGGAGTAGAGCCCAGGCTCTGGTCATTACCACAGGATTTCGCCTGCACAAATGCCCAGTGGCTCATGTGAAAGTCTTGCAGAGGCTCCACAGTTCCTGCCCGTGCAGGGCCATGGCTGGACCCAGCGCCTGCCCACCAAATGCGGGTCGAGGCCCCCAATCTGCAACAAAGGAATCCCCACCGTTGAAAGCACCCCCAGGGTGCTCCACTCCTCGCTGGGGGCCATGGAGCAGTAGTCATCCTCCTCCTCACCCTCTCAGGACAGGCCCTGTCTAGCCTGGGCAGGGCTGTGCCTCCCTCTCAGACCACAGGCTCCTCGAGGTGGGAGCCTGGAGGAGGAGGAGGAGAGGCTGGAGGTACCCAATGGCCACACTGACCCACGTGCCCCTTGTCTTTACCCCACAGGCTGCAGCAAGATGTGGGACAACATCACCTGCTGGCCGGCCACCCCTCGGGGCCAGGTGGTTGTCCTGGCCTGCCCCCCCATCTATAGCTTATTCTCCCCCCTTCAAGGTAAGAGCCCCAGGTTGAAGCGAGGGAGCTGGGTGGCACAAGTGGCGCCAACAAAAGTGGGGACTCGCCTCTCAGGGAGCGAGAAGGGCAATGGAGAATGTCAAAGGGACTGGAGCAATCAGGGGGGCTCCCTGGAAGAGGATGCTCTGGCACTAGGTCTTCGAAGGACTCGTGGGATTTGATTAAGCCTTCACATAAAGATAACCAGGTGGGAAGGGCTCACTAAATATTTGCTCAGCAATTAATAACTGATTGACGGGCAGGCACTTGATTCAATCATGGCTCCCGTGTTCCCGCTGTCCTGACCTACTGACGATGCGGCCTCCCGCTGCCCGGAGCGATGCCCTGCTCCACGAAACCACCGCCCGGCCTCGTACACACCTTGTCATGTTCTGCTCAAATGAATGCTCAGAAAAGAAAAGGGGGGGCCTCTTGAGGAAGTGGGCTTTCTTGCTACTGAGTCATTTAAGAGGCTTACAGCATAATGTGTGGTCAGCCCTCCTTCCAATCAGTGAATGTTTATTCAGCACGTACCAACATGACAGGCACTGGGCTAGACAAACAAGGGATGGCGGGGGGCATGAAACAGCGGCACTGTCAGCCCACTAACGTTCCAGGGGGAGAGACATTAGTAAGAAAACAGACACCCTCGTGCTAAATAGTAGATGGTGCTGGGAGGGGGCGGGGGGGGGCAGGGCGCGGGGGGCAGGGCGCAGCATGCAGCAGATGTTCGGGGGACAGGAACTAAAGACCTGGAGCTGGAGTCAGGGAAAGAGCCACCACGCACAGATCCTGCTGGGGGACCAAGGGAAGAAAATCTGCTTCGGTGAGATGAGGCAGATGGAAGGAGCAGGACCTAGGTAAGGATGCGAAGGGTGGGCAGAAAGACTCTTGGGCGTCTCTCACTCCGAGTGGCCTTTTCCTCGCTGGGCCTGTTTCCCTGTTTGTAAAGTAGGCATCGGAGGTGGACCAAATGGTTTCTTTGGGGTAGGGCAGTTTTGCACCCCAGTGTGGTGACCCCAGCCGTGAGGGAGAGACCCTGATGCCCTCCCTGCGGATGGCATATTCCAGGATGGCAGCACCTACCCCAGCACTCCTCCTGGGAACCCAGCAGGTGGGCAGGTTCCCAGCAGGGAACCCACAGTGCTCCCATCAGCAGAGCCTGGCAACCAGCCTTCTCCTGGATCCCCAGAAGCTCCTGCTAATTGCGTTCCTTCCTGACACGCCACTGAATTGCACCCTGACGGCTCTCCCTTCTGGCCTGCTGGAATGATCAAGGCAGCTCCTTCACTTGAGAACCTGGACTCCGGCCCACCGGCTGACTAATCCCGGGGCTGCCAGCCTCCCTGGGGCCCACAGGGTGCCTTCGTGCAGAGGAGAAGAAGGCGCCCTTCCTCAGAGTCAGCCCCTCATCAGAACCCACCTAGCGGCGAGCTGAATGTAAAGGAAAAGCCCCCATCATCCATCCGCCAGAGGCCCTCATGCAGGGCACCCCGCTCAGCTCTGCTTGGCTGTGAAAACATCTCTGCAAATGGCGAAGTAGGAGGCAGGGTTAGGGGCTGAAAATGTAAAGGAAATAGAGTGTGCTCTCCTGGGCAGCTAGGTGAAGAGGGTGTGAGCCACTGACCTTCCATGCAAAGAGGGAAGTTTGTGAGTAGGGAGTGCAGGGGAGGGGTAATGCCAATGCCAGCTCCTTGGGGACCAGGGCTGGGGAAGAAGTGTTCTCCCTGGGAGGGTTGGGAGGGACCTGGTTCTACGGTGAAAGCTGAAGAGACCTTGTAAAAGATAGAGATTGCGGAGGGTTAGAAAGAAGTCATTTACCCAGGCTGGGTAAAAGTCCCTGGGGTGGGGGTGGGCCAGGCCAGGGATTGCTCGTCAAGGCCCCAAAATGGTCCTGGGAGCCTAGTCTTGAGTTCGTGGTCTATGTGCCTTTAATCCGTGGTGTTTTTACCTTCAGCTATTTGAAGAGCCTTTTTTCAGGATGGCTGTTTGGGTTGAGAACGCTCAACAGTCTCTGTCAATGGGTCTGTAGGACACCTCCTGCCCTCGCCCCACCCCCTACATCAGGAGGCTGCCTGGAGCCCCAGGATCAACCTGGTCTCGCCCTTAGATCCTGCAGGGCTGTGCTGCTTGGGTCCCCTTCACATACCTTTGCCGGGGCAGGTCCCCCTGCCAGGAACTCCCTGCTTCTCCATTTATGAGGATTATAGATCTGCACCATTATCAGGTGCCCTCTGACCCCACCCACCTCCTGCCTCACCTGTGGTCCCTGTCCTGCGGCACAGCTGCGCCCCACCAGGTGTAGGAGGAAACCGGCTCCTGGGCCCAAGCAGGCTGACCCAGGAGGAGTGGACAGGCCTGGGCTCCTCGGCCCAGCCAGGGGCTGCTGTCTGGACCCACCGCATAAAGAAACCACCTGCCACACCAGCCTCTGTGGCCCTGTGACAAGGGTCAGCATTTAGCTCAGGGCTCATTCAGATAGCCAAGGACCCAGGCTATCTGTGACAAGGATCTGGATTTGTTCTGCACACGAGGTCTGTTCAGACATGACAAGGGGCAGGAATGTCTGCTCTGACTGTCGGCTGTGTTGAAGGGTCCCCTGGCCGTCCTGGAGGGGCTTCTCCCTGCCCCGGGTTCCCCTGTGAGGACCTGGGGTCTGACCCAGCAGAGGTTAGTGGGAGCAGGGCTGAGGGCAGTCAACCAGGCCCCAGGCCCCCTCCACGGACCTGCCCTGCGCCGGGCCTCATCCTCTCTCCTCTCCACTCCTGCCCTCCACCCAGGCCGCAATGTGAGCCGCAGCTGCACGGACAAGGGCTGGACACCCCTGGAGCCTGGCCCCTACCCCATTGCCTGCGGCTCGGATGACAACGAATCGAATTTGGACTCGAATTTGGACGAGGTGGGCCTCAGTGTACCCCACCCCCCACCAGAGTGCCTTGGCCTGCCAGGCTTCTCCCACTCTTTCCCACCAAGGGGTGGGGTGTGTCATCTGTGTGGGAGCCAGGACTCCGGGGGTCTGCCCTCCCCCCGCCTCCTCCCTCTCCAAGCCTGCGTTTCCAAGGGCTGTCCCCTGGCTTCCCCTGACATGAGGGTACTTTCATGAGGATGACTCCCCGCAACAAAAGCTGAAGCCACACCCCCTTGGCCAGGCCACCCCGGTGCCTGGTGGGAACTTGCTCCAGCCCTGGGTTTGACAAGGCAGAGAGATGCCTTCCTCCCGGTCACATACGGAGGGGAAACCGAAGAGCAGATCCTGGAAGGAACCAGCCTCGGATACCCAGTGGTCAGTCAGGAACAGTCACAGGACCGTGACCCTCAGTCCCAGGACAGGGGTCCACCCCAGAGCAGGAGAAGCACAGTCAGGACGTGGGGTCAGGAGCCAGGCAGGGACACGGATGGAGGCTGGAGTGTAACTGGAGCCCTCGGCCAGGACCCCTCTGCTCTGTGAACGCGTGCGTGTGTATCTGTGGCGACGTCTGTCCACCTCCGGACACCTCTCTTGGACAGCTATCACTGCGCCCAAGAGGGCCTTGAAAGCCCACCAGGGCTTAACTGCTTGCCTCTGCTGGAGGGAGGGGATGGCCGGTGGCTCTGCGTATGTCCCTGGGGGGCCTCCGGAGGGTGCCAGCAAGAAGCCTTCGGGATCCAGCTGGTCCCACCACCCCAGAAAGGCCGACTGCCCTCATCCTGCTGGCCCAGCCCGAGCCCGGGATGTGACGTCACGCCCCGCCCAGCGTCTTCTTTCCCTTCCATGCCCTGCGTGCCCCCCACAGCGAGAAGTCCTCGTGTGGGCGTCTAAAGGCTGCCGGGCCCAGAGCTGGCACAGAAGGGTGCCAGACGCGTGACTGAAAGTGCGTGGACAGATGGCACGTGTGAGGTCTCTGCTCTTTCCCTCACTGACGTTCCCCATGAAGGAGCAGAGAGAGGGTTCGATTCAACCCCTACCTGTGGAGACTGGGGCATCAGGGGGACTGGGTCCTGACGGGGGCAGCTCAGCCGCCCTTGGGAGCCCTGGGCTTCCGCCCCCTCATCCAGCAAGGCAGGGATGGGCAGGCAGGTGTGTAGGGCACCCCAACCCTGCCAATACTCCCAGGTGAATTCGCCCCATCCCCCACCCAAGATCCTCACCACCTCCCTCTAGCAGCAGCAGAAAATGTTCTACAGTTCTCTGAAGACCGGCTACACTGTCGGCTATAGCCTGTCCCTCGCCACGCTTCTGGTCGCCACAGCCATCCTGAGCCTGTTCAGGTAAGGCCCGGCCCCAGCGACAAGTCTCAAAGCGCACCCAGCCAGGTCACTCTTGCGCTCCACCCCAGCCTGGCCCAGGCATGCTCGGCCCCCTCCTGTCACCTCCCAGGCAGTCCATGGTCCCTGCCCCAGGCCCCTGCCAGACCAGCCTCCCCTAGAGACAGCAGGGGACTCAGTGTCCCACGGGTCCTAGCCTAGTCCCCCACAGGGGACCTTGCCCCTGGGGATGGGGTACCAGAGGGCGGGGCCTGTGCTCTGGAATGAGACACCTGGAGGCTGAGGCACTTGGAGGCCTGGCTACACCGGCTGGGGATGGGGTACCGGGATAGGGCCCCGCTTTGGGACAGGAACAGCGCTCGGGGCCACATGCTCCCTCTGCCCTACCCTTGCTCAGTGGTAGTTGGGTGGGGGTCCGAGGCCCCTTCGGCCTCCCAGCTCTGCCCACCTCACTCAGGAAGCTCCGCTGCACACGAAACTACATCCACATCCACCTCTTCATGTCCTTCATCCTGAGGGCTACCTCGGTCTTCATCAAGGACCTGACCCTCTTTGACAGCGGGGAGGAGGACAGCTGCGCGGAGGCCTCGGTGAGCACTGCCGGGCCCCCCCCTTCATCTTCCCTCACGAGAGGACTCTTCCCCCTCCTCCTCTCCCTCTCTCTCCCTCCCTCTCCCTCTCCAGGGATGGCCAACCCCCCACCCAGCCCTGCCTGGCAGCTCGTTGAATCCCACTTCTCTCCCACGTCAGGAGATAGTGCCCAGCCATCCAGGGGCTCACAGACCTGGCCTCAAATGAGAAATGGCACTCCTTGGGGGGACATGGGACTTCACGGCCAGAGCCCACCGCCCCCATCACACCTCTGTGGCTAACTCCCCGTGTGACTTTAGGAAACTCCCTGCCTCGGTTTCCCCATCTGTACAAGGACTTCCAAGTTTCCCTCCAACTCTACCCTCTGCCGTCGGCAAACCCAGGGCTCACGCCACCCTCCCTGCTCCCCCCTTACCATGTGGAGCCAGTCCAGACACACACAGCCCTCTTTCTGTCGTCCCAGCCACCAGTAAGTCTGGGGCTTCCTCGAGAAGGGACATTAAGAGAGCATCTAAGAACCCATCGCCATCACTGCGGGGTGCATCTGCAGGTGACTGAGCTCAGGACCCCTCCCTGAGTGCCCTCGAGCTAGGACAGAGCGTTGGAGAGCAGCCTGACTCCCACCCACGCCTGAACCCCACGGGTGACAGCAGACGCAGTGCGTGGGTTCAGGGGTCAGCAGTACCTTCACCCCAAAGAGTTTACCTATGGTGATGGAATCGCAGGCATCCCAGCGAGGGGAAGGGAAACCCAGGGGAGCCCCCCTGGCCTCCCCGAGCTCCCCGGGGACCAGCACTTGCAGCCGGGAGCCGCCTGCAGCCCCCAGCGCTCGAGTTGAGGGTTATTGTGGAGACTGGCTCCCACATCAGCAGCTCCGGATGCTTCCGAAGGCTGGGAGAAAGCTGAGTTATTCGTGTGGTAAAGCACGTGTGGAAGGGCGGGAAAACAGGCATGCCTGTGGCGGGAAGGACTGACGCGCGACTTGAAGGAGGACTGTCCAGCCATAAGGACAGGAAGGCAGGCTGCTCTTTGAGGACGTCTCAAAGCCAAGGGCCCAGGGAGCAAGGGTGGGAACCGCCAGGTGCTGGCTCCTGGGAGGCATGGATGCTAGAGGGATTCTTGGAGGCGGTGGCTTTAGGCCCTGGCTCGCAGGCCTGTGGGCTTCATCTCAACGGGAGACTGTTTCTAGGAGAGCACAGAAGGCCCAGAAGACCTTCTCACCAACCCAGAGCCCCTGACTGCCCTATCCAGGGGTCGCCCTCAACTCTCCGTTGTCCTCCTCTACCTGGGAGACCCATTTGCACGAGCTCCTCTGGCTCCCGGGAGCAAGGGCCATCCCTCCCTTCTTATTTCTCCTTCCCCTCCGCTTCCCTCTTCTCGATCCCCGTCCCTCCTCAACACTTGTGTCTGGGCCCCTCCACAGCCAGGGCCCACACCCCCACAGTCAAGGGTCTCTTGCCAATGCTCGCGAGAATTCGCCCTCGCCCCTCTCCCAGCCGCCTTCAGCTCTCACTGGGACAAGATGAAAGGGTGGATGGTGGGATGGGGCATTCAAGTGGACGGATGGCTCAGTAAGTAGGTGTGTAGGTGGGTGAGTAGGGGGAAGGGTAGATAAAGTAAGAAAAATCGGGTAGATAATGGGTAGAGGGGTGAGTGGGTAGGTAAGTGGATGGTGGATGAGCAGATTGATGGACAAGTAGGTAGACGAATGGATGGATAGATGGCTAGGTGTGTGGGCTGGTAGTAGTCTAGTAGGTGGAAAGATAGATGAATGGAGAGATAGGTGAGTGAGTGAATGGATTGATGAGTGGGAAGATGAATAGATAATGAATGGTAGATGGATAGATAATAGATGGGTGAGTTGGTAATGGGTGTCTAGTGGGTGAGTAAGTGAATAAAGAGATAAATGGATAAATAGGAAGATGGATGGTTGGATGGGAAAGTGGGTGGATAGATATATAGATAAGAAGATGATAAATTGCTAGATGGATAATTAAAACTACAAGCTTATTCCAAAACATCGGATGATCTCACATCAGGGATGACTCGAAAACCACTGAGTCCATTTTTAAGGGGATAATGCAAAATAACAGCGATTAAGTTGACTGTACAACTGTGCCTGTCAGCCCAGACAGGGGTGGGCAGGCGGGGACCTGTGCTAGCCCCGGTGAGACCCTCTCTGCTCCCCCTGCAGGCGGGCTGTAAGGCAGCCGTGGTTTTGTTCCAGTACTGTGTCATGGCCAACTTCTTCTGGCTGCTGGTGGAGGGCCTGTACCTGCACACCCTGCTTGCAGTCTCCTTCTTCTCCGAGCGGAAGTACTTCTGGGGGTACATACTCATCGGCTGGGGTATGGTTCTGGGGAGGGCCGCCAGGCTGGGGACAGAGGGCAAGGCTGGGGGTGCTCACTAGGGGGCGGGTGCTGACCCAGCCTGCAGTCTTAGGTCTTGCTAGGATGTAGGTCCTGTGTGCAAGGCTCTAGCCAAGAATTGATAAAAGTCCCCCAAATGTGTGACCCAAGGCAGGTGCCCTCGGGCTGCAGCTGCACCAGGGCTGAGCTGTGAGACGGGCAGGTTCTATGAACATCTTTCCACCGCTCCTTCAGCCCTTGAAACGCACAGGGCCACCGCTGGTCCATAAAGTGCCTGTGCCAAAATTAGATGGACACAGCCCCTCGGGCACAGTTTCGGTCCTCCCTGGAGCGCAGTGGACAGCCTATGCCACCGTCCAGGGCAGCCCTGGTCACCCGCCCTCTTCTCCCTCCCTCCCTCTCTCTGTTCTTCCTCCTTAATCTCTCCCGCATGCCCTCTCCTCGCTCCCTCTCCCCGTTGGCCCTGACAGGGTTGCCCAGCACATTCACCATGGTGTGGACCATCACCAAGATCCATTTTGAGGATTATGGGTGAGCTGTCATCCTGCCCCCTCCTCCTGGCTGCCATCCCCTGGGTGGGATGAGGGGGACTTGGGAGCAACCGACTGAGCTCATGCCTCTGAAGGGATTGGGGGCAGAGCTGGGGACAGCAGGGCGAACTGCTGACTGTCTCTCTGGCTGAGGACAACCTCGCTCATTCTCCCCTACCATCCCTGCCCAGATGCTGGGACACCATCGAGTCCTCATTGTTGTGGTGGATCTTGAAGGCCCCCATCCTCACCTCCATCTTGGTAAGACCGCTTCCCACCATTTAGAGATGGGGAAACTGAGGCGCACATTGGGTAGTCAACTTGCTTCGGGTCACACAAGAACTTCATGTGCAGGCCAGAACTGGAACTAGGCTTCCCACCGCGTATCCCAGGATCGTCTCCATCCCTGCGTTCTTCCTCCAGAGTAGAGAAGCTGGACTGGGGGCCCAGGCTTCAGGAGTGGGAAGTACAGTCCCCAGATGACTTGCCCAAAGGGGAAAGAGCTAGAGGACAGCTAGCATGGAGAGGCAGCAGGGCCCTAGGGGACAAGACAGGCCACCAGCGCAGGGAGCTGGACGCCCTGGACTTCCCTCTCTGACCACCGACCTTGGCCCCACCACCACCAGGTGAACTTCATCCTGTTTATTTGCATCATCCGAATCCTGGTCCAGAAACTGCAGCCTCCGAATGTCGGGAAGAGTGAAAAAAGCCCGTACTCGTGAGTGTCCCGGGGCCCTGGCTCTCCCAGTGTCCCCGTTCCCGGTCCTCAGATCACCCCACGGCCCCGTAGTCCCCCTCCAGAGTCACCACAAAGCCACGCTGCTCGTCCACCTCTATCCCATGGCCCGGCTCAGACCACGAGTGCCCTCTGCCCCAGCCCCACCCTCTCTGGGCTTACGAGTCCCGTGTCTGCCTCTCCCGCACCCACCTAGCCTGGCAGGCAATCTGATCCAGGTTCGAATCTGCTGCCAAGCCAGGGAGCTTGAGAAGACAGTGATACCCTGTGTCTTGTTCACATTGCGTGCCCAGTCCCTGGCATGTGCCTGGCACAGAAAAGGGGCCCATAAATGCAAGTGATGAATGCCCTGGGGGAGCCCCCAGTCTGCCACCAAGCAGCCATAATCATGACTCAGTAGTCCCCAGTAACAACCACATCTGCAGTTCAATGCCAGGCATCGTCTCATTTCACCTCACAATCCCCTATAAATTGTCCCTATTTAGGCGGGGGGAACTGACATGCACTCCCTCCGCTTTAAGGTCTGGGAGTATGTCACGTGGCAGGGGGCGGGCTCGGTGTCCAGAGAGCAGCGATGGAGCTCCTGGCTTAGAGAGGTGTGCGGGCTGGCTCCTGCGCTGGGGAGGGCTGGAGAAACAGGCGGGCTCTTGGAGAACAGTGGGCTTGAAGACAGAATAAAAAAACAAGAAAAGGGTAGCTGTGGGGAGATGACTAGGAGTCGTCATGCCCACAGATGGGAACAGGAGATGACCAGTGCTGCGCAGACAAGACAAGCCCGGGCATCCCCCAAGGGCCTACCGGTCCTGGGATTCTAGAATGTTCTTCTTGGCCTGGCTTCTCTTTGGGGAGTCTGTGCCGTGGTTGTAAGGTTCCTGGCCAGAATGTCACGAGCTGCTGGAGTTAGGATTCTATTCTGGACTCCTGTGAGCTCTCTGATGAGACGAGACTGGCTTTCCTTGGATGATGTCATTCTCTCCTGCTGGGTGTGTAGGCGGAGCTTCTCCAGTTTCTGAAGGGCAGGCCCTGCAGGGGTCTGCGGTCTGCCAGGGGGTAGCACCTCGGGCCTGTCCACCCTCATCCTCTGCTTTGTCGGACCTTGTTTTCCCAACATTCAACTACTCAAAAGGGCTCAAATCCGAGGCAAAGAGAGCTGGTCATTGCCAGGTCCACGTGGGTGAGATGGAAACTGAACAGCTGTCGGCAGGCAGAGGTGGGGGAGGAGGAGATGGAGCTCCCCAAGGAGGGGCTGTCAGCTCCCACTCTCCACCTCCCCATAAGCCTTCAATTTAAAGAAAGCTTCCATCTGTCAGCCTCAGCGTGGGGGATAGGTTTGCAGCCAAGGAGGGTGGGCAGTGCTCCGGATCTTGGCATGGCTGGGAACCAGGTCGAGGAAGGAATGGGACAAGCAAGGCCAGTTTCCCTGCCCCCGGTGTGCTGTGGGACCTCAGGCCTGAGTCTAGGCTTCCCTGGGCTGACTGCCAAGGCAGGAAAGAACTCAGAGACTCCCCAGCCCTCAGACCTCTCCCAGTAGAAAACTGGTCTCTTTGGATTCACTGCACTTTATAGCACCCAAAGTACTTCTGAATCTACAATGTACCCCATTTCTGTAATTTGACCATGTAGAGGATACATTACTCCATTGTATAGACTGGGAAACTGAGACCAGGAGAGGGGGAGCCAGGATCTCATCTTGCCTGAGAACATATCTCCCCATTAGCTGCCACAGAGCCTGAAATACCATGATTATGCATCATCCTCAGGGTTCAGCACTGGCCCTCCTTTATACTTTCTCTTCCAGAAGGATAAGAATAGAAGGGTTTCCTTTTCTCTCATGCTTCCCTCCAGGCTGGGGGGGCCAGGGCATAGGCACCACAGATATGGAGCAGAGCCAGATGTGGATTTAACAGTTATGGGGACCAATAGTTCATCCTCACACATCCTGGTCATTGTCCTCGTCTTCCATACCCCAGCTGCCCCTGTGCCAGGCCCTGTGGTGTCCACATGTATGGACACACCTGCCCACTGCCTGCCCTTCCTGCCCCTAGGAGGCTGGCCAAGTCCACCCTTCTGCTGATTCCCCTGTTTGGAGTGCACTACACCGTGTTTGCCTTCTTCCCCGACAACTTTAAGCCTGAAATGAAACTGGTCTTTGAGCTCGTCATGGGATCTTTCCAGGTACGAATTGTTGACTTGAGGCTGCATTCTTCCCTGGGCTTTAAGGGAATTCTCCCTAGGGCCTTGGCCCCTTGCCACTGGACTCCAGTCTTTTTACTGTAGTGAGTATTGATTAAGCATCTGCTATGTACTTAGCCCTTTGCTTAACCAGGGGAACACAGGGCCAGGGCCAGGGCCGGGGGTTGGGCAGGGCTGGGGGCTCCTGTGGGCGGTCTACCTCACCTCCCCTGTTCCCTTCCTCCCCAGGGTTTTGTGGTGGCTGTCCTCTACTGCTTCCTCAACGGTGAGGTAAGCCCCTCCCCGACTTTGGGGTCCCAGGGTCCAGAACTCTGATGGGATATGAGCACAGTGAGGCCAGGTTAAACCTGTTACTTGTCCAAGTGTGGTCCTCAGACTAGTAAATCAATGGTGGCATCTAAGACCGAGTTAGGTGTGCTGATTTCTGGGCCCACTCCAGACCTGCTGACTTAGACTCTGCATTTAAGTAAATCCCAGGAGACGTGTGTGCTCCTCAGAGTTTGAGAAGGGCCTGTTAGGTGGCCGTGGCCGGAGTGGGTGGGGACGGGTGGGCAGCACTGTGAAGGTGGAGTTAGAGTGAAGGCCTGGTAACAGAGCACAGACATCCACCTGGATGAGCTCAGGTGAACTGGAGGGCAAGGATCAGAAGAGTGGGGATACAGTCACCCCCGGATAGCATCCCTCTCCATCCGGGACTGCATTCTCTGACCCTCTCTGCCTCCAAGGCCCCCATCCGCCCAATTCTGCACCCACCAAGGGAGCATCCAGGTCTCTCCATTTAGACTCCCCAGGAGCAAACGACTGGCTGGCTCAGCACCCTACGTGGCGAACAGCCCAATCAGCAGCGGAGGAGGCTCTGTAGGCGTGACCACCCTCCTTCTCTCAGGTGCAGGCGGAGCTGCGGCGGAAGTGGCGGCGCTGGAACCTCCAGGGCATCTTGGGCCTGGGCCCGAAATACCAGCACCCATCAGGGGGCAGCAACGGGGCCACCTGCAACACCCAGGTGTCCATGCTGACCCGCGTCAGCCCCGGCGCGCGCCGCTCCTCCAGCTTCCAGGCCGAAGACTCCCTGGTCTGACCGCCAGGCGCCCAGGGGCCCGGGAGGCCCCACCCGCCCGCACCCGCCCACCCTCCTGGGCGGCAGTGGGGCTCGGAGGCTGCCCTGGCCCCCAGAAGCCCCTGGAGAACGCTGCTCTTGCACCTGCCTGGGGAGAGGGTGCTTACCTGGGAGCCGCTCCCAAGCCAGCCAGAGCCCGGAGAGGGCCCCCTGGAAGACATGGGGTGGAGCTCAGCCATCAGACTCCTCCTCCGAGGGCCCGCTCTGCCAATCGATGGCAAGAAATTTGCGGACTCTCAAGTGACTCCGCCCCCTCTCCTGACCTATGGAGGAAGACAACCACCCACCCCAGACAATACACTGGGAACCTGGTTGACAAAGGTCTTGCCCCTGAGAGGTCACCGGGCACCATCACCTCAACAGTGCCCAGTGCCAGCCTTGCCGTCAAGTTCCTTGGGGTGAAGCATTGCCATTCGGGCATCTCTCTGACGGTGCAGTCCCCTCCCCCAGTGTCCTCTTAGCTGCCAGGTCCTCAAGGTGAATGACTTTCTCTGCCTCAGGCAGATGCTGTTGTGATCTGGAGTTTGGGGAGCACACCGGTCTTCAGAGTCCCTGCTGAAGTGGAGTGGTCCCAGGGTGTTTGGAACAATTCGAGGACACTGCCACCAACCTTACCCATTCCTATGGGCAGTGGGAGCTGCCCTCGCTGCCTACCTATGTGCCCACTGTGAGAACTGGGCTCAGCAATGTGCCCTCATGAGTCCCTTAATCCTCACATCAACCCAGCAAGGTGGGAACTACTGTCCCTCTTTCACAGATCAGGAGACTGAGTCTCACAGGGCAGATACCTGGCCGTGTCACACAGCAGGATTCGAACTCAGATCTGGCTGATGGGAAAGTGAAAGCATCACAGACTTTTACAGCCGCCTTTTATATCTTGTAACACGCTGGATCCTCTTGGTTATTTGTGTCACCACCCCTTGTTATTTCCACCATCCCTGCAACCCCAACCCCATCCCCCCTGGCCCTCCCTGGAGTGTGGCTGAGGAGTCCTCTGGCCACGTGTCATCTAGACAAGAGCCTGGTGGTCATGGCCTCGTGTGCCTGCTGTTCACCCCTGTGGTCACATGGCTTCCTGCCCACGCCCCAGCCGGAAGATCCACACTGTGCAACAATAAATGTTGTGTTTTCCTTAGTGGTCGGTGTTCCTGTGTGACCAAAAATGGGGACTAACTTCCAACTTGCTGCCATCTTCCCCCATTCGGCGGAGGGGTGCGCTGAAGCTGCCACCCCTCTGGCTTTGGACAGAAATGCATTCCAGGCGAGAAGCACACATTGCAAAGGGTCTTTTACTGACATCTCACTGAGGGGTATCCTCTCTCTTCTGAGTGTGGAAAAGTTATCCCAGGTCTTCATTGTGCCTCTCAACCCCCTAAATCCAGCCAAAAAGAGACCGTTCTATTCTTGGGTCAATACAAAACAGCTAACAGCTGCCCGCAGCCCCAGAAATGGTTGCGTGTGAGCATTTCCCAGGCTGCAGTCACTCCTGGAGACAAGGAGCCCAAGGGGCATGAGATGACCGTGTTGCCATTGCCAGGGTTCGGCCAAGAAGAGGAAGATAGAGGACAGAACAAATGTCCCCCCAACAAGTGAGTGAGCTGAGACAATACACTAATAGACAGGTTTAGACATAGAGCCAGTAGGGTGAAGTAGATGATGTCAGCAGAGATGTCTCCAAAGCCACTCACTGCCTGAGCTGACCTCCTTGGCTTCCACTTCCTACAAACTTACAAAGAGGTCGTCTTGCTGCAGGAGCGGGAGAGGGGTGCCAGGCTGGCAAAAAGAGGCCAGAATGGGCTGGCAAGTCTCCTTCGAAGCCCTGGGCTACTCAATACCATCTCAGGCCCATCAAAGACGGCCCCAGCCCAGCACCCAGCACCCAGCAGCCCGAGTCAGGGGTGGTCAGGCAGGATAAGAGTGCCTGTGAACCTCGGGCAGGGGCAGCCCCAGGCAAATACCCTCTGATCTGAGGTCTGGCATATCCAGGAGTGGCAAAGTCTCCATCTAGACCCACGCTCCATGCCTGCCCTGTGCACATCAGCTGTAGGACGGAGAAGGAGGCAGTAGCCTTGACTTCTGGCATACCCCGGCCTGCTGGAGGAGAGAGAATTCTCAGCATCCTCTCTTCCCTCCCACTTCCTAGGCCAACAGTGGTGACAACCAAAGAGGGGCAGGTCAGGGAGAACTGGGCTAGGGCGTTTGGGACACCTGGGACTTATTCTATTCTTCTCTGAGAGTGTCACATCCCTAGACCCCAAGGCACAGAGAATGAGGGTAGGGAACAGGTAATATGTCCATGTTCCTTCACCCAGGTGGGGTGTGTCGCTCACTCGCTCTGGTTTCCTTCCTCCCCCTCCCTATTGGGGACTCCCTGAACTGGCTCCAGAGACCTTGTCCACCCCCAAACTGCTCAGTAAGGTCCGGAACACCTAGCCCTGGACTTTGAGTCCTGATTCTGCATCAGACTTTCTCAGAGATCATGAGCAGGACCCTGCCCCTCTCTGGGCTCCTGTTCCTCCACCTGCACCATGGAGGAGAGTGCTGGATGGCTGAGCTTAGTTTCGGGCTGAGGCTTGGGAGGCCAATGGGGAGAAGGCTGCCCGGAGCCCTCGGCCACCTGCTCTGTCCTCTGGGCTCAGGGGAAGACAGCAGCTGGAGAGTGTGCTCCAAGCACCTAGGGACGGAGGGGTACACAGAGGATGGGTGTTGTGCAGAGGACAAGAGGGATGAGCTCGGGCTGGGAGAAGAGGGGAGAAGAAGAGGAGGAACTGAAACGGGAGGAGCTACCAGATCCTAGAAGCAAAGCGTTTCAGAGGAAAGGGCAGCGCCCACCTTCCAGATCAGGAACCCCACTGGCTGACTGAGGGGTATAAATACCAGGAGGGGCCCCAGACAAGGCTAAACCCAGCCTATCCAGGGCTTGAAATCTCACCGTTAGTGAGTCATGGCTTTAGGGTAAGGAGAGAGCCCTGAAGAGAGAAGGAAAGTGAATGAAACAAGAGAGACCCAAGATGGGCAAAAAAAGGGTACACAGATGGAGTCCCTCCTGAGAGGCGGCAGGAGGTAAGAAGCCCAGTGGTGGGCATTCAGGTATAGGAAGAGTCGTGGGCTGGTACCGGCTGTAGGCAGACAGCCGAGCTGCCTGTGAAGTAGGGGTGCAGTAGGGGGGCCACAGAAGGAATTTCTCCTGCAGCCCCTCTTCCTTCCAGCTCTAGGGGCCCCCTCCTGCCTTGCAGGGTGCTAGTCGGGTAAGACCAGCTCATCTCCATCGCCACCTGGTGGGGACCTCAAGGACTTCACCAAGGTTGGCCTCAGGGCCCCAGACACCTGGAGGCAGATGACACCAATGGCAGGCCTCTCTCTCCTCAGCTGCATTTCAAATGAGACCAAAGAGGGAGGAGCCGGGGGTGAGGCCATGGGACTGGTGACCCCCGGGATCAAGGAGATGCAGGGCCTGGCCCTCAGACCCAGGCCCCTGACCACTGTGGCACACAGTGATCCCTGCCCCAGACCCAGCTGGGACCCCGGGTAGAGCCAGGCCTCTGGTTTGCCACAGGCTAGTCCCTTGCCCTTGACTGAACTCTGACCCCAGTCATTGAGAGCAAAGGCCAGTTGACTCAGGGGTCACCTCCTGGGAAGACAAGGGCAAGGAGTCCCCCACCATCTGGGCAGAGGACCACCATCGCCTCGATGGCAGAGAGCAACATGTGGATTGTTCCTGCCACTCTGAGGCACAGGCTGCCCAAGGAGGGTGGCCAGTCTGCCAGCAGAATGGATTGGGAGCAGCTTCCCAGGTGAGGTGACCTCGGCGTAGTCTCTGAGGACTAGGTAGGGGTCTCGGGTCTCAAGGGAGCGTAATGGGTGCCAGGGACACCTGAATCCCGGTGAGCAGGTGCCGGGGGCCCTCTGGGAGGCCGAGAGGGTGAGGGTGGGTTTGGCGCAGGCCTGGGGAAAGCATCCGGTCCATCATCCAGATGAGGAAGGAAGGGGGCGCTGGGAAGATGATGATCCGGTGGTTTGGGCCATGCTGGGTGTAATGTCTATAGGACATCTGGGGAGAAGCCCCAAGGCTTCTAAACTCACAGGGCCCAGGCAGGTGGTGGGGAGACCAAGGCAGCCCCGTGGGGGAGGGGTGCACAGGGAGTCTATCCCCGGGCACCTCCATCTGGTGTGATGGGCCAGGGTGGGGTGAGGTGGTTAGGTGTCAGCCCCCCCTTCCTACCACGCAGCCAGAGCCTGTTTTAATGAGCAGTGACCCTGCTTCCCCTATGTGGGAACAGGAACTGCTCTTATCTCTCCAGGGGAAGGGGGCAGGAGCCACAGCTGGCAGTCATTAAACACCCTGATCAGGCCGGGGATGGCTGAGATATTAATAGCCAGGAGTCAATGGCCCTGGAGACACAGCCTCCCAGGGACAGGGACAGTAGCTTCAGCAGGCCATGGGGATGAGGAGGATGGGTCGTCCTAGCAATGCCCCAGCCCCCATGCAGGACAGACAGGGTAGCCGAAGCCCACCGAGAAGGAAAGGGACTTGCCTGGGATCACCAGCCCATCATTGGTAGAGCCCAGTCCTCAGAATCCCAGAGCCCTGCTTCCGTCCCTGGACTGTCACAGGTGCGGGTCATGGGGTGTGCCCGGTAGGCACACGAGGAGAGCAGACCTAGCTGGCAACACTGGTTCTGTAGTCTCTTTGTATAAAAACAGTGATAATTTGTTAATTGTGTATTTTTGCATTTGTTCTTATTTTTTTAAGTATAATTTATCCTGATTACTGGGTTCTGTGCCACCTCCTTAAATTTTACACCCGCGGTGAGTGCCACACTTGCTCAGCTCTCAGAGGCCCCAGCACCCCTGGTCCCAGCATGTTGACAGGACGGGACTCTGAAGAGGTCTGAACTGGCCTGTGTGTGGCTCAGAGGGAAGGGGTCCTGCCAGGTGATGCCTCCTAGTAGAAGGCAGCG